CTGCTCCTCAGACTGCCCTGCCAGTGAGTAGGCTGGTAGTGCACAAAAAGTTGGTAGGGGCCACAGCTGGGACAGCTGACCCCGAGCGATGAAAGGGATGTGCCAGACCATATGACGTTGGGCTCAGCAATAAAACTGCAGGGTGGAGGTTGGCAGGGGCTGCTGTTGTTTGGCCACTAGCTGGTCAGCAGCCATTTGGTGGTGAGAAATTGTTTTCTTTCCTTTTGCATCACAGGTTTTTCTTGGGTTTTATTTTCCTCTCCCTTTGTTGTTTCCCTTTACCACCTCCCCCCTCCTTACAGTGTGTGTGTGTGTGTTTGTACATATATATATATCTGTGTATATATTTTAGTTATTAAACTGTCTTTATCTTAACCCATGAGTTTTCTCACTTTTATGCTTCAAATTCTCATCCCATCCCAGTGTGGGGTAAGTGAGCCAATGGATGTGTGGTGTTTAATTGCTGGCTGGGGTTAAATCTAATTATATTGGATTGGTCTTGGTAAGGGTAGTAGCTTTGAAGCAAGTCTGGGTGTTACTAAGAAGAGACTACAAATTTGATATTTTTTTTTAAATAACTTGCTGAATTGTTATTGGCGTAAGTAGAAGCAGATTTTTGCTATATGACAAATTGCATTTTTATTTTAAAGAGGATACATGCTAAATTTACATAGCTATGTCTAAGTATTCAGCTGTGAACTTTTTGAGTGCAAGCTTTATTTATACTACAATCTGTAAAAATTGCCAAGTCAGAATATGTCTTTTGAATTACATATATGCTTAACTTCATAGATCAACTAAGAAATGGACTATGTTAGTCATCAATAATCTTGAAAAGAAGATAATTTTGAGAAGGCTTGAGAAGCTTTATGTCCTTATTCTGTTAGCAAATGTATTGCTAAGAGTCACAAAAATTCATCTAATATTTCCAGAAGAGACTAGTGACTTTGAGCTGAAGTCCAATATAGTTTTCTTCTCAAATTGCTGAGCAGGCTATTTAAATTTTATGCGAAGAATTACTGTAATCAGCACTCTCCATCCTAGATAAAGGTCTAAGAACATATTGTAATTATCTGTAATTATTCTACTGTATGAACCTATTAAATTTTTAAAAAAATATTATTGCATATATTAACTGTGTTTAGTGTTCAGTATTCAGAATTTGAGTTATTATTCATTCTGATTTATCAGGTCTGATATTTTTACTTAGTTTTTATTCTTTGGTAGGTACTTTTTTCTAGAGTATTATTCATTCACAAATAATGCCAATTGCATTTTACTGTGAAATTAAATTAATATTTTTGGAAAGAAGCACAACTGTACTTTTTTTTTTGGAGACTGAATAAACAAAATACTTGAACCCAAAAGAATTGAAATAATTTTAAATTTGTGTGAACATTAGCCAAACTTCAGTATTTGCTGAATTCTGTCCTTTAGTAATGACACTGACTATTTTTAAACACTTCTGGTGAGATTTAGTTTTGAAACTATAATATTGAGCTATTGACTAGTAAATATTGTGAAGATTATTTAAGGTTTTTTTTTATTATTTACTATTTGGAAACCTCAGGGTGTACCTGCCTAAACGTGGATGGCAAACTTTTCTTGTGGTGCAGGAAAAAATAATCTCTAGATTCATCTAGTACAGTATTCTGTATCTGAAAGTGGCCAGTTGCAGAAATCTAGGGAAGAATATAAGAAAATGGCAGGCATATTGCAGTACTCCACCAGAATACTCCCAGAAACTCCACTTAGTAAAGTCTAAAGGAATAGTGTCCTCACAGACCCAGGTAATTTTCTAGTAAATACAGAATTCTGAAAAAATTATGACTCTACAATCAGAGTTTAAGCACATATTTCCTAGTTTTTCCTTTTACCTACCTGTCTCAGCGGTCATAATCTCCAATGAAAACAAAAAGATGAATCCGCTGTTAATTTCCTATAAGTATATGTATTTTCCTATAAGTATACGTAATTTCCTATAAGTCTGTCAGTATCACAAACATGTATTTTTCATTTGGATTAGGGGTTTAGAACTTGTTCCATACCGTTGCCAAACAGTTACATTGCATTGCCACCATTGTCTTAGATTAGATGATGCAAATTAACTAAGAGACTGCAAATTACTTGAAGGTTTTTTTCTGGAAACTGTTTTATTAAAAAAAAACCAACCAAAAAACCCAACTGAAAAGTAGAGTATTGTGGTTTATCAAAGCAACAATAAAAGAATGGAAGTGTCTGTCCAAACTTTCTGCAGAACTGCAGTAACCTGATAGTTACATAATAATTCAATACATGGAAGCCTGGATGCAATTTTTTAATTATCACTCAAGTGTAGTTAGGAAACCATATTCCATGTCCTCGAGGAGTACCCCAATTGCCACGTTACAGAATAAGCTATGGTATTCAATGATGAGTCTCTTAGTAGCTCTTGGAATTGTTTCCTCTTGAATAAGGTGATTCTGACTAAGCTAATTCTTTGTATCACAGAGATTCTTTGTCTCAATGTGGGGCACAATGTCACCTTCATGGGAACACCCAGTTTGGGTCCTGTACTGTGGATAATAAGCATTGACTTGTTCAGACATGCATGCTCACTCCAGAATAGTCTAGCCATTCATTTAGGGGACTTGAATGAAAGAATAGGTGATCAAGGTCTTGACAGCCTCCCTGTGACTGTGTTTACTGAGTGAACATTCTTTCTAAGGTGTATATTAGAATATGAGTTTATTTCACCTTTTAGGAAAACTTAAAAGTTTGTGGGAAATAAATGTAATGCAGTAGAAGTAAATTGCAGGTTGTTGGAATTACAGTTATACATAGTAGAGCATCTTGATTTACTTTTTCTACATTTTTGCCATTTTAACTTTTCTACTGAAAACACATTAGCAATTCTACTCTGTTCAAAAGGCTACTTTAAAATTCAAACACTGTGCTTAAGTAAATAGAAAAGAATGAATTTGCTGCACTGTCTATGTTTAGTTTTCTCAAGAAGAAGAAACTTTGAGAAGATGTTTTGGGAGATATGCATATCAATGGTATATAAGAATCATAAGCATAAATTGTTGAGTTTGAGCTCATTAATAAAGATATTGTAAAGAATTTCTAATTTGGAACATCTGATTTTTGTTCCATTTCCTAGATTTTGATTCACAGAAGTACCAGTACAAGTACAATTAACCTGATGTAGACAAATAATGTGATAATTTATCAAGACAGATGTTTCCTTTTAAAGCAATGTTGTTGATAGTTCTTAGAAGTTTAGATGGATATAGGTAAATAAACCCAGTTTATAATTTTTCATTTGCTTGTGGCTGTGGTTATGTTAAAAAGTAGGGGAGTAAGTGTTTTAATTAGCAATGTGTTAGCTTTTCACAAGATAAATTTGAATTATGAACTTGAATAAAGTATATGATTTAATGAGTTTAAGATTTTAAATTGATTGAATACAGTGATGGTGTTCCCTTAGAAATTTTTGTGCTACTTTTGTACCTAAAGTTGAATCTCATAGAGGAGATTAGTGTAGCTTCAATTACAGGAAGAAACAGCAGGAGCAGGCTCAAGTTGAGTATTGAAATAATATTAAAAGAGTAAATGAAGAAAAGTTTTTTTGGTAGTAAGCTTTGGTTTCAAGACTTTGAAATGTTGTGTTAGATGTTGTTTTTCCAGTTGTGTTTTGAGATGCACAGGTTCCTTTTGCCGGTTTACAAGGCACTGAATGGCCAAAATTCAAGAATCACAGCCATTTAAACTAGTGACTTCTTGGAACTGAGTGTTATGCAAACAAGAAAGATAAAATCTTGATTTCTGTGGAACAGAAAATTGTAGAAGAAGAGAACAAATTTGCCTTTTCTCTGTTACAGCTTCTGCTGATTCATACTCTGCTGTATTCTCAGTTTTAGAAGTGAAACTGTATTTATCCCATACTGAACTGCATCTTGCATGCACTTTGCAGCCATCCTGCAACAAATCACTTAAAAGTCTATGAACAGTTTATCAGGAATCAGTTTGCAAGATTAAAAAAAAAAAAAAAAGCTGTGTATTTTTATGTATACATCTATGCAAACATACATATATGTATATTCACAATCAAATCTCACAGAATTTTTTAATTACAGTCTAGATTTCATTTTAAAATTTCTCTATATTATATATTGCTTAGCATTTCAAATGACATTTAAAATGTTTTTTAAAAACAATCAAGAAATATTTCTGGTTTTTTTTCATTTTTTATTTGGTTTCTTTAGACAGTGGAATAATACAAATGTTCTGTACAAATATTCTGATGTCTAAAAGTAGTTGTATTTACTGCTTATCCATTTTAGTTGTATGGTGATGAAATTGCTGATAAATGATGTAATCATAATCCCCATTGCTTATTACTTAGTATCTGACACTGTCCTTGAACCTTAAAACATAATCCTGGACCTCTTAACTTAGATAAAGCTCCTTTTGACTTTACTGGAATAAGAATTTCAAAGCATAAAATGTTAAAAGATCTACATATTGAACATTTATCTGAAAATCAGTTATTACACTTAAACTATTTTCAGTCTTCTATGTTACATTTTCCTAAAAACATCTTTTTGCTCTGCTGTTCTCTCTGAAAACAAAAAATGGTTCATCCTTCTGTAGAGACAACGCTCTCTGCTCATAAACGAATTTCTGCTTAGCTATTAAGTTATTTACAGATGTGGTTTAACTTGAAGAATGAATGCTGAATGGAAAATTAAGTATTCAGAGTAGCTTCAGACATTCTGCACATCATTTTTCCACTTTAAGTCACACTTCACAAAACACACTTTGAGGTATTGTGAATCATATTTTAAACAAGCAGACTTTGAATGCAATGGCAGAATATAATGGAGTTTAATAATAAATATGAGCAGGTTTTGTTGTTTTTTTTTTCCTGTCACAATCTGTTTTTCCTTATTGTGTTCTTCTCTAAATGCTGAAATGTAACTAATGGACAATTTACACAGTAATTTACTGCTTTATAGGTTGGAACTTGGGATCCATTGAGTGGCCTTAACATGACAGAGAGTCAGAAAGGAAAACCAGCAAACATCACAGATTCCCTGTCGAATCGCTCTTTAATTGTTACCACCATCTTGGTAAGCAGTTTTATTTGCACTTTCAGAAATACAGTTGTACAGGAAAGCTAATAGAATATGGTGTACTAATTGCAACAGTAATGAACAGTCTGTAGTATATGTTACAGTTACTTAGAAATTACTGTGTCATGAATGACAGAGTCATGAATGTTAAGCTAGTCATGGATATTTAATCTCACCTAAACAGTAAGTAAATTATCCCAATTTTAGAGTTATGTCAGTTGATTAGTAATTTCACTTTCCTTATTCTTGGCTAAATGTTTGGTTTCTTCACAAAGCTGTTGAGTTCAGCACCATATGAGAGGACAAAAAAAGTGCTTGTTTAAAAAAATGGTTGGCTATTAGCCTTGTGAGTTTAGCCAGCAAAATTTAGGGCTTTCATTTGCTGATCTAACACCATGATATTACCTCTAAAGAAAGTACAAAGTATTTAACGTTTTTTCCATCATTGTTCTTACTTGACTATTAAGTTGAATTTTTTAATCATACAGAAATTGAACTGAGATATCATTTGTGCTAGATCAGAAGTAACTTCTTTTTCATTGCCAGTTTGGACAAATTCACAGTGGTGAATGTGGTATTTTTTACTTATAATTACATATATTTTGTTATGTAAAAGTTCACTAATTTCCGCATCATAGACTTGAAATAGTAATTTTAATTTCAACACAAATGAAAAACTTTCCAGAAGTGTGTCTGCTGTGTTTGTCTGCGGCTACCATTTTCATGAATTTGCAGGTATCAAAGAAATAATTCACTTCCAAAGTTTTGTTCTTTAATAAGAAGCTTTTACCTACCAACATATATTTTGACATTTCAAGCTAGAATGAATTTTCATAGGTACAAATAACAGTGTGCTTTCTAACCTTTTATGTAACATAAGCTATATAATTTCCTCCAGCCAGTAACTTTTGGTTATTCATAAAGTCTGTTTTTATTTGAAGATTCACATATTATAGAAAATCTTCTGAAATCTTTTGTTTCATTTATCCCACTAATTGAAAAATACATACCTGATATATAATTGGAACATGGCTGACTTCCTTTCAGATGTAAGTTCTTGTTATGCTAAGACCAGCACAGTTTTACCACAACTTCCTATTGTGCCATTAATCACAGTTTATAAACATATAATGCCTTGGGTTTCCTTTTTATAAAATGTAAATGAACGTTTTCTAGTCTCTTAAAGTAAAAGCATACTTCCTAGAGTATTAGTCTGTCTTTTTTCTTCCCACTGCCCTTCACAATTTTTCAAATGTTTTATATATGACCTACTGCATTATCAAACAATGAAGACCTATTGCATCATCAAGTAATGTTTCGTAGTGATTCAAGTTGACCCCCCGCTATACTCCCGTTATTTTGTATCCATATATCCTGCCTAGGATTTTTTTTTTCCCCATTTTCTATTCTTTCTCTCCCTTTCTTTTGGACCCAAAGGATATTTAAAGCATGAATTTTTAATGGAAAAATTGGTCAAATTTTAAATTAATATAATAAACAAGAATAACTTAACTTTTTATCTTTATAAATATGGGTCACTCATCTCTTGTAAACAGAATTGCAGATATGTAATCTTTTTAATTTTCATTTTTATGGCGTACTTTGAGGAAGCATACCTGATGCAGGCGCTTTCTCACATTTATGATTGTATCATTCTGGAATGATTCAAGTAATACCTAAATTTTGATATATTATTAATTCAATAGTATTTGGTTCCTGCTGATGTTATAGCCCTAAATAATTATTTCTATTTGAGTTTTGTGTACTGCCATGAAATAGTTGAATCTGTTTTTGACTAGCAAAAAAACTGTAAACTTGATGTTTTTCTATTTTTAGTTTACTCAGATCTGTTAATTTTTTTCTTTGGAAGGCAAAGGGATATACAATTCCTTACTTTCCTATTTTAGTAATTTTCTTATCCCCTTTTAAAATACTTTCCTGTCATCAACAGTATGTGCCTAAATGCCTCTCCCAGACTTCTTATACCCACTTAAACATCCAGAGACTGCACCCTCTCTTTCTTGAATTTTATTCCACTTCTGTCTCAATTCCACTCATCTCTCTTCAGCCATCAGCGCAGCCTGTAAACTCACTGATTTCTTGAAGGTGTAGCAGAAATGTAAAACAAACTAATGTGTTTCAGGAAGTTTTCCACTGAGGAAGGTAAATTAACTTGCTTTAGAGTTTACGGTGCTCAAAATGCAAAAGAGTTTATGTTGAAAATTATCCTTGTCCTGAGATCCAGGACAACCTGGATAACATTTGGGGCCTTCAGACTTGGAAGGTATCCAGAGATATGCTTTGCTATAGTGCTTGTTTGTATTTCAAGCATAAAAGGAAGTGACGTTTATCAGAAAAAAATGATGACATTTGAAAGGAGTCATACAATTTGAATGAGTGCAGTGGGATAGCACAAGCTAAAGTTTGACTTAATAGAAAAAGGTTAATAAAGCTATTTTTCTCCTGGCTGGGTGCAAACAGAAGGTAGAGTGTCCATGTATTTATATCTCTGGCTAACGACTAAGCAGCACTCTATTACAGCATCATCCCCAAAAAACATCTCTCGAGTAATTCTCCAGTGCTTCAATTCTCTTCTACTAAAATGTTAGTCATAAAAATATACTTTTACATAGTGGCAAGGAACAGTTTATAGTTCTGCTTCAGGATTTGCACTCATGAACACCAAGGGCCATCAGTCTAGGATAATGCTTGCTGGATTTGTTGAATGTCTTGGGTTTGCATTTTTTTTTTGTTTTTCTCCACAGTCTTTTGAAAATTTAAGGTACATCAGAAGAAAATAATGTTTTGCTTTCCATTATAGTAAGACACAATAAAGTCTTTGATATTATTCACACATCATGAAGACAATACGATTCAATTCAGTTGAAAAATAGGTTAGCACAGTCTGCAGTGTTGCAACAGTTTAATGATTTCACATTTTGTGGGTTATTGAGTCAAGGGGTTTTGCTTGAAATAGCCATCCACTGATATCCATTTTGCTTACTGGAATGGAAACCTAGTTCACATTCTAGGGACGTAGCTGAATTAATTTAAAGTTTGGCCAAAGTTAAGAGTAAACTGTGGGAGAATAAATAAAACTCTTTTTTCTAGGAGTCTGACAAAATGAGGAGTGAAACTGTAGAAAAGAACAACTGTGGCTTGTGTTCTTTAGGCTGTGATTTATCAAATTATAGTGATGACTATATGTTTCATGACCCAAAAGGTCATACTAGGGAATCTTTCAGGAAATATCTTGAGGTTATTCATAATTAGTTTCTATTATAGGTAGTGCAGTGAAGGAAGGCGACTTTGGTGCTTTCTTGTATCTGGCCTTAGTTTGTTCTATTAGAATATCCTGTTTCAAATGACGAGTGAGATGTCTAACATATTACATTTTTTTGATTGATTGTAACTGGTGGATTGCTTCACCTCTCCCACTTGAATTTTGACTGCCAACTGTGAAACCCTATTGTGTATTTGTTACATCTGACATAAATGTTAATTAGACCTGGCAGCCTTTTAACTCCAGTATCCCTGGTGAACAGAAGCTAATGATTAAAATTGTCTGTTCAAATAGTGGCAGATTTTGAAGGTGGTTTTCCTCTTTTCATTATCAGGGCTTCCTTTTTGTTGTTGTTGTTTTGCTGTTTTTTCAATACTGAACAAAAGTTCTAGATTCTTTAAGAAATACATATGTCCGTGTTAAAAGTATTAATGAATAATCCATATGTTTGATAAGTATCCATAAAAATTAAAATTAGAATGATTTGAAATGTAGAGTTTATTGTTGTCATTTCTATCTTTGTAGATGAAGTATAATACAACTCACAGGGATAATTCAAATAAGCATTTCTTGTCCAAATCTAAAAAGAAAGCAACATATAGATCAAGACAATCAAATATAACACATTCTATCAATAATATTTTTTCCATGCACACATTTGTATAAAGTGGTTTTTCCTTTGAGTGTTAGTTGTATATTTTAAACACTAAAACAAGTCTGAAAAGGTGCAATATCAATTCAACATGTAGAAACATTAGACAATGATCTTTTCTTGTGTAGGGTAGCTTTACATTTGTGATGCAACCTACGCATTGAAAAATGAATATAGATACATTTTGCAAATAGGATACATGAAAAAGTGTGCTGGAAAGCTGTTATATTGAGATCCCTAATGAAAAAAAGTCTTTGGAGATAGTATACCTGCTGTTTATAATAGAATAATAGAATTTCCCAAGTTGGAAGGGACCTTTCAGAGTCCAACTGTCAACCTAACACTGATAAAAAACATCACTAAACCATATCTCTAAGCACTATGTCTACTCGCCTTTTAAATACCTCCAGGGACGGTGACTCAACCACTTCCCTGGGCAGCCTGTTCCAATATTTAATAACCCTTTCAGCATAAAATTTTTTCCTAATATCCAGTCTAAACCTCCCCTGGCGCAAAATGAAATGATGCAACATAGAGAGTTATTATAAGAAATCCAATTGTTTACATTCATGGAGGCTTAAGCATAGAAAGTCAGAAGAAAACATTTTGATCACTTAATCTGGCCTTTAATACAATACAATTGAAACTTGATTCCTTCTCGCTTCTTTTTGATATCTGTCCAATTTTTATCTTATTTGATTTTTGGACTTCAGAAAACTATTTATATCAAATAAAGGATTTATGTAATCTCTCTACTTCTTGATGTAATCCTCTTTTTTGCATCCAGAAGGGTGCTACCCCCTCTAATGACAGCATATGACAAATGACTGTTGTCTTCAGATTATTTTAACTTCACTTACCAAGTAGAGGAGACATAAAAGCATGAACTGGCAATTATACTGCCTCCCTGACATCACACATATTTAAATTCTGCCCCACATAATTCAGGATTGCATGGAACAGAAAAAGATAGACACAAAACTCTTGTCAAGAATCTTGACAAGATTCCAGAAAGGTTGGAGGTTGTCTGAATCTGTAAATATCTGAACAACTCAGCAAATATCTAGGATCTGAGTACATGAGAATTCCAAGCTACATAACAATTTCATAATACCTACAGAGGCATATATAGAATGCTGTATTTTGGAAACACAAGTCTGATTTTTTTTTTTTTTTTTACATCTGAAGCAGGGTTTTTTACACCTTCAGATATAAATTTTAGGATTTAAAGTGTAGATAAACAATGCTATTGAGTATTTAATCCTAATTTAATGTGGGAAAATATATTTGAATTAACTACTGTTGATAAAGAAGTTCCAGGCATTTTGGAAAATTCCAAAAATACAGAATCTCACAGCTGAAATGGACAATTTTTCACTTCCTAAGTGGTGACTGTTCTTTTCACAACAGAATCAGTTGCCACAGGTAGCTGTTTTGTGTTTTCTTGGCCTCCTTTTCTTTTTTTTTTTTTAATGAGGTGATTTAGCTTCACTTTTTCTTCTATTGAAACAGTCCAAATCCTTAGATAACCTACTTTGGCACCAAAGTATAGTTACCATTATAAAGTGCCTCCTAATTTCTTACCTTTATTTCTTTTGGCCAAAGTTTAAGGTCGTTAATTCCTGTTCTCTCTACAGAAAAGAACTTTTCTGGTTCTTTTTGCAATAACTTTGTTTGTGTTGAAGACTTTTATCACTTCCCTTTCATTCTTGTCTTGCTTAAGTGAAACAACCTATTGTCATGGTTTTGGTTGGATTGACCAATCAGAATGTCAGATGAGTGGGCCAGCTGTAGCCCAGTGGTTACTTCGGTCTTTCACAAGTTCGTTGTGTCTCGCCCTATATTCTTTCAGACTTTCCTTGTCCTATTATGTAGACCTTGGTTCATGTTTCTACTGAACTGCAGTATTCAAAACTGAATGGCTACAGCATCTGAAGCACTAATAGTGTCAAAAGTATAAAATGAGAGAGTAATGTTAATGGGAAGGGACCACTGTAGGTCCTCCAGTACCAACTCCTGCTCAAACAAATCCAAGTAGGTCAGTAGGTCAAAGTGGTTTTTTTCTCAGTGAAGGGTGTGATATTGTTGAGTCTAGAACATGATTTCCTATAATATCCATAACTGAATTTTATAGAGTTGCTGTCTAATCAGCTCTTTTCCTCCTGAATTTCTGCAATTTATTATTGATCTGAATCGTGGAAATATTCATTAATTCCTTTTGAATGCCATTTTTAAAAAATTACTGTGCTGTTTTCTGAAACTTAGTGTTTTGAATTCCAATCCTGCCCCATTGTAGAATGGATACACATCCAATTAGCATATTTTCTGTTCAAGAAAAAGAGGAAATATTTAACTATACTCTCTCAAATAATATAACTTACTAAAATTTTCCAAATGGATAATAAATCTCTTCCAATGAAGTGCACATTTCTGAACAGTTGAATTTTCTTCATATTTTTAGGAAGAAGAACGTGACTTTTTTGGAACTGTTTGATTGCCCTTATAATGTGATTTCATGGCTTTCTCTTCCTACTGGGCAACAGATGAGCTAGTTCATAGAATTTCCTAGATTTCCTTTTATTCTTGCTTCTAGAATGATTTTTTTTTTTATTATTTTTTTTTTTTTAATGCTTAATATTGATTGCTAATTGTCCTGTATTATTTTGCTTTGGCATTTATACATTTGTCCCTGCATGAATATTATGTTGTTTGCTTTTCTGTTTGTCCTTCACATTGAGTTACATTTCACTTCTTCCATGCTTCCTTTTCTGAGTTTCAGTTCACTGAAGAATTGTCTTTTCCACAATTTATGTGTTTTGTCTTAGCATAGCTTCTGCTTGGCCAGTAGTGTGCTTTCTTTCTCATTTTGCCTGAAAACTGTTTTCCTTACAGGTGTCTGAGTTTATTAACAACTGTTTTCATACGTGTTTTTTGTTCTGTCACTGTTTCTGCTTCTCAAGGATTATTCAGTAATCCTTGTCATTTAAATTGCTTCCAACTTCTATATTTTCAGTCAGGTCTTTGTCCTTGTCAGTACTACATCTGGAAGAGCTCTACTGGAGTCATTTGTCTATCTATTTGAAAAGCTTCTGTCAAAAAATCCTAGTAGTTTCTCCAGACATTTTAGTTCTTGTTATATTCCTTGTTAATTATATGAAGATCAGTGGTGTACTTTTTAAAAATATAACCATAACTTTATTAATTTCAATAGAGTATATAAAAATAGAATCTCAGAAGAGTCTCAATTCAGTAGTTTGTTTTATTTAGAAAAAAAATATGTAGGAGGCAACAGGGGAACAGATACATTCTGAACACGCTTCTTTTAAGAGCAAGAGATCTCCTTGCATTCTCCTTTGCATTTTGGGTAAAATTCCTATATGTTACAGTTCTAGCTTTATGCAATTCTAATACTTAAATCACGGGACATCTCAAGATAGATGTTTACATCAGGAATGCTGAAAAATCCTTCTTAAAGCTGTCAGATGCCTGTAGAATGAAATGCCTTTAACCCCACTGAGTGCTGATGCGGAGATTTAGGGCTGTATGAATTCTGTTTAGATAGCCTGGAGAGTTTATGTGATTATTCTTTGAGACTTGTATTTGGTGCGGTAATTGCATCTCGTACTATTTTCTTACCTTACTTGTTGCTTATTTTTTTATTACTGTAAAAAATGAAAAAAGTTTGTCTAAAACATGAACAAAAGACTGAGTTGTGTATTTAACCTACCAAATAAAACTTGAATTTTGTCATCATATTGTAATGGAAAGCTCTACCATTTGTTTTTTTTCTTATTCCTTTCAGCTTTGTATTTGAGGAGGTTTATCCTATATTGAGAAATCCATGTAAAAATCCTATGTTTTTCTAAATGTCATTTCTTCTTACAATTATGAATATTCTGGCCATCTTTTTGATTTGTTTGGTGTTCTGTTTACACATCAGTTTTATGCAAGAAGGTTTCATTGTTGTTTAAATCCAAGAAGATAAAAGTTTAAAGAAAATAAATACCATTTTCATTGAATGTATATAATAGAATTTGCTTTTTGAGTTAACTTTTCTCTAGTTTTGCTGCAGTCTTGTAAATGGCAGCCTATAACTTGAGGCAACAGAACAGTAGGTGATTTCACTGACTTTTTCTTCCCACTGTGGGTTTTCCTTACTTTATTTAACAAAGCATTGACAAAACGGTTAAAATTCTTGTGTAAGAAAAAGTGTAAAACCTACTACTTGCAGCATTTGATTGATGTTTGGGGTTTGAATGACAATTGTATAATGTAATTTGTTAAGGAGCACATTTAAATTTAGTGTTTCTATGAATTCCTTAAAGATATGTCTATGGTCCTTACAGGGTCTTTTTTTGGAATCAAAATGATTAAAGAGGTTTTCTGACTAACTTCAGTTTAAAGATAAATAAAATCTTTAGACAGACATAACCAAAAGCTAGAAGGATTCTTCTTTTCCCTTTTGTTCTTTGTACTGACAGCGGTGTCATGACAGTGTGCTACTTTAGGTTAAAAAGAAAAGAAAGGTGTGGGGTCACTCATTATCCATTCTGTCTTTTTAATTTTTACAGGAAGAGCCATATGTTATGTTCAAGAAATCTGACAAACCTTTGTATGGGAATGATCGATTTGAAGGTTATTGCATTGACCTCCTCAGGGAGCTGTCTACTATTCTTGGATTTTCCTATGAGATTAGACTGGTGGAGGATGGAAAATATGGAGCCCAGGAAGATGCCAATGGACAGTGGAATGGAATGGTTCGTGAACTAATTGATCATGTAAGTCAACTTTTGGAACCTTTCTACTATTCATTTAGATATCAATTCTCTCTGTACAAATTGTAAAACCTTTATGCTAATGCCATTTGAATAGCACTGTTTTGGAAAATGCAGATGTTTAAAGAAGTAATGCAAGTAGGTTCACATCAATGGTTTCTATAATGTAGCATTTGTTTGTTAAATGAAGACTATTCTGCATCTCTGTCTTGCCTATAGGCAGTGTTTCTGCCGAACTGGTTTAGCTATTCTGTGGCATATACCTAAATCAAAATATGGAATAGATAGTATTCAGAATTTATTTCTGAGAACAGATATATGTTTTTTTGTGACAAAACATATGTCTTCATTAATCAACAGAAGTCAGGCCTCCTCTTCTGATAACGGATCTTAGACTTTGTCTTAGAGAAATTTCTGTGTATGTAGTGTAAGCATGTAAATTATTTGATATGCACAAAGAAGAAGAACGTCTTTCTTGAAACATTCACAATAAAGTGCACGCAGTAAGACAAAAATATCAACATATACTGAAGCAACAAAGTGAGGCACTGTGTGTCAAAACCATTACAATTACTTGTAAATAAGGCAGGCATTACTTTTTGTCCTTCAAAGCATGCTTTCCCAGTTTGTCATGCTAGTTGAATTCAGTCTCTTTAAAACATTTTAGTCAATTTGAAAATCATGTCATTGTTCCTTTTTACATTTGTTTGGGTGAATTGCTTGATATAGAGATATTTGATCAAAGAATGAGATAAAACATATCCTGCACATAGCTGTCATTTAAAAAAGGAAAAAGGGGAGACTATTTTGTAGCTAAAATGAAACCTCCTAATGGTGGCAAGAACCGCATGAATAACTTGAAGAAAAATATTTATAAATCTTGTTTCAATTTGCTTTAAGATTTCAGCAGATGGACAGAACATGTGTTAATCAAAATATTCATATTTACTAGAAGGGTTGTTATCTTTGTGATTTTCTAGTAAATAATAATCTGGTATTGCTGTTGCAACAGATGTTTATTATGCCTGGCTTCACACTTTTAAGAAGAATGCGTGGGAGTATTATATTTATATTATCTTCAAATGTGTGTATGCATTACACCTAGAACAGATACATGGAAAGCAAGCAGATATTTAGCTAGACTCTGTCCATCTCTATACATGGATATTTTCACATCTGTATAAATGTATAGGCATGCATAGCTATTAGATTTGATGGTTGTTAGGTAGTGTCATCATCTGGAACTAATTTTCCATGATTGGGGTAGATATTGTGGAATTATTTCTTATATAATTTTTCAGAAGCAAAGAAAAATCACATTTTGGTATGATTTTAATATTCAGCCCTAAAGCTTTCTTGAACAAGCACTAGTGCAGCCTCCTAAGCTTTTCACTAACGTAATCTTGAAATAAAATGCATTTGAAGAAGCTGCAGCAATAAAGTATGTGGAACAGGAGCTTTTCCAATCATTTCCTCTTGATAACACAGAATAGAACCTGTGTTCCTTTTCCCCATAGATAACATATAACTAAACTTAGATTAAAATTTATTTTGGTTTTTGAAATTATGTTTACTTAGGAGGCAAAAATGTGTAGATACTATCCTTAGTGAATCATGGAAGATGTAATCTAACTTTTTAACCTGGATCATAACTCTTACTAGTCTCTCTGAATTGTTAAAATTTTCCTTTAAAATTTTTTTCTGGTTTTATCTATTCTTAAGTTTTAATCTATTTGAATACATGCAATTTATTTATGCATCTGTGCCCTTTATTTACATGCATGTTATTGGTACATTTTATTAGCAAGCAACACTTCAGACCTCAGAAATGGTGCACAAGAATTTAGAAAACAATTCCAGATAGTTACCACTTCTGATATTCCCATATAGTTAGTACTTCACTTGGGCCATTAGTTTAGGTTTTTAGCCTTTCTTTTCCCTTGGAGAATATTTTTTAAAGTGTCAAGGTTTTATTTTGCATAAAGTAATGTAATAAACTTGATTACTATTATGTTAGGTTGATGGTTGGACTTGATGATCTTAAAGGTCCCTTCCAACCTAGACAATTCTATGATTCTGAAAGTTGTCATAGTACTTTAATCATTATTTTAAAATTTATTTTATTTTTATCTGCTTGTTATATTTTAACTGTCTGTTACTTAAGTTCAGAAAGAAATAATACTGTAGTGTATATGTATTTACAAGGGTAGTTTGTAGCATTTGTAATTCCAATCACATCCTGGGATGCATCAAAAGAAGTGTTGCCAGCAGGTTCAGAGAGGTGATTCTGCCACTTTCCTCTGCTCTCGTGAGACCTCACCTGGAGTACTGTGTGCAGGTCTGGAGCCCTCAATATGGGAAGGACATGGACCTGATGGAGCGGGTCCAGAGGAGGGCCACTAAAATAATCAGGGGGTTGGAGCACCTCTGCTACGAGGACAGGCTGAGGGAGCTGGGGTTGTTCAGCCTGGAGAAGAGGAGGCTCCGGGGAGACCTAATAGCAGCCTTCCAGTACCTGAGGAGGCCTACAGGAAGGCTGGGGAGAATCTGTTTACAAAGGCCTGTAGTGATAGGACGAGGGGAAATGGCTTTAAATTGGGAAAGGGCAGATTTAGATTGGAGATTAGGAGAAAGTTCTTTACTGTGAGGGTGGTGGAGCACTGGAACAGGTTGCCCAGGGAGGTGGTTGAGGCCCCTTCCCTGGAGGTATTCAAGAGGAGGCTTGACAAGGCCCTGGGCAACCTGGTCTAGTTGGGGATGTCCCTGCTGACTGAGGGGGAGTCGGACTAGATGACCTTGAAGGTCCCTTCCGGCCTGGACAATTCTATGATTCTATGTATGTAGAAAGGCAGGCACGCAATTCATATAAATATAAAAAGTACCAAATAGAGTCTAAATCTTTAAATAAACTGTTTATATCTGTGCTCAATCTCTTTATGTAATTGCTTGGACTCAAAAATGTATGTGAAATGAAAACATTGTTATCTGCAGTGAGCTCAGCATATCATGTCAGTCTCAGGCTTGAAACTCCACACTGTGAACAGAGACTGAAGACTTTACATCAGGCTTTGTGTGTTTTCAATCTCCCCTTTCCCATAGTTTACTCACATTTCTTCTTACTTTAACCATTTTACTCAGTGTTCACATATGCCATGATTCTATTATTGATCTCCAAACAATGACTTTTGAATAAATGATACTGAAAGTGAAAAATCAGCTCAGTGATTCCTTCCCTTTGACAACGGAATGATAATGAATTCTTGTTGGAAAAGACATTGGTCTCCGTAGTTGCAAATGGAAAAGAAATATTCACTAGGACAGCAAATATAGATGGGATTTCCCTATGAAAACATTTGAAATTGAATTTCTCCAGTGAAGCAGTCTGATTTCTCTGCCATAATTTTTCATTCAATATTTTACCCTCCTCTCTGGTTAATTCAAGATAAGGGTGTTAGATATTTGAGGGAGGTGGAGCTAAAATCCAGGTGTCTTCATCCTTTACAGGTGCATTCTTCATAAAGAAGTATTCTTTATACTGGCTTGCTGCCTTTTTGTTCAAGAACTTTATTCAAGGATTGATTTACTGAATTTATTTTGAAGATCATGCACAAAGATCATGCATTACAAATAGACTTTAAAGCTTGCAGATCTTTTATGATTCAGAAATAATTATGAATTTATTCAATATTCAATTATTTATTCAATAAATAATTATAGAAAAGGGCCAATTTTTAGATCATGACTTCTTTTATTATATGTGAGGATTAAATGGGAACTTTTCTTCATATCTCTTCATATCTCATTCTTCAAATCTCAGGATTTTCAGCTTGGGCTAAGTTAAAACTTATGCTAGGCAATTGGAAAGCATGGCTTAATTTGTATTATCTTTAGACATAGCTTTGTATTTTAATTAAGTATCTTTTGAAACTTTTACATACAAAATGCTTACATTTATAAAAATAGTCATGACCTTTTATTCTCTCAATAACAGAATGGTTTCAGATGTTTATAATAATCAGTTTAAAATTTTCTGGAGACATCTTCCTCCAACAACTTGGTTTTTTGTTGTTTTTTTTTCTTTTTCCTAATTTAAGGTCCTCACATTGTTGAAGGACTAGAGACAAGCTCTTTGTATTACTGTGTAGAAGAGAAAAAAAGTCTTGCTGTGTATAGCCTCCCTAGGAAAGGCAAAGGAACTTCTCTTGCTTCTCTTCAAGGATAGATAGAGCCTTCCTCCTAACTTTCATTTTCAATAAAATGCAAGTCAGTTTAGCCATGCCTCTTTCATTAATCAAAATCTCAGAAAATTTGACAGTAGCAGGGAGTTAGAGGCTCTTTAAGAGAAAGAAAGATAGAACATTCTGTCTTTTTCACCACCATTATATGTACTGGATAATAAAACCTGTGATCTGTCAGAACTCCTTATAGCTCTATGTCTGCTTTATGGCTGCCTCATTGCATTAGTGAAAACACTGATCTGATGTTGACATTTTCAAAGCTATTTATAACACTTAACTGAATTTTTTTTCCAAATGATTCTCCTAAATTAAAGTATTGATACTTACTCATGCTAATACCTATTGAACATTATTATTAGTCAATTTTCAAAATATTTCTCCACAGGGGATCACTGGATTGTAACATCTTAATTTAACAATATATTTTTGTTATCAAATAAGAAGCTACATCACCTCCTCCTTTCTGTATTTTTTGGAGTGACTTAGTTGTTTTTTGTAAGACTCCCTGGATTTTTGTTTAAGACTGCTGTGCTAGTCCTCGTCATCAGGTTCAAATAATAAGAATGTTTCATAGGATGGCTTAATTAGCCAACCAGAGGCAGAATTACAAGTAGTGACTTTAGAAACATGTTTTGCCTTACTTATCTGAATTCAGAAAATTCAGGATTTTGGCACAGTGGTTTATCTCTCTTCCGTTGTGGCCAGTATTGTGACTGTGAACTGTCATTCATTTCATATTTCTTTAAAAATATTGTAGATTTCATA